ACCTCCGGCTCTACACCCATCTATTTTTGGCCCTATTTGGGACTAAATTTGGTCCAATTAAATTAAGATTTAGTATACTATTAATACCAAATGTCCCTGTCTGTGTGTCGCATTCAATAGCAATACCTAATTTCCCCTAATTTTTGCGTATAGCTTACCTCACAATTATGAATTTTGTTTTTGAGAGTTTGTAGCATGGCTTTTACTTCGGTGTTTTTACCTTGCTCACATCCTTAGCGTACAATCTAACGTTGATCTCCCTTAACATATTATCAACTTGTTTTTTTTTTATTAGCTTTCGTTGTCTGGCCCCTTATGACATCTTCGCTTCCCCCACTGTAGCCTAGAAATTATCAACGGCGTTGAAAACGTGTAACGGGCGTTGGATCGCAAAACAAACCATTTCTCCTTTTCTATATTGGGTTTAAAATGCTTTCAAGTTACACGTCTGGTATTGCTATAGTTGAGCACGGTTTCGAACGGTCGGCCATTCCTAATCCGAATTCCGAATTTAGGCCACCGCCGGTGTGCCTACAATTAGTAGGCAGGGCCTTTGCCATCACTCTGGAACTCTGTATTGGGTTCAGACTACTCAGTCTGAACCCAATGTACGTGTTATACTCGGAATCGGTTGGTTTATGTCACTGCAGGTACAAATAAACTTTTCTTCTTGTTTGCTATAGATATCTTGCAGCTCCCGTTCTTTTTTTTTATAGAAGTTGTTGGTTTTTACGTATTTTCTACTTCCTATTAGAAGGTACCCTTTTTAAAACGCCGGCATCATTTCCTGTTTCGGCTTAAGAGACAGAGTGAATGATTTTTCGGTATTTATTTTCGTATTTGTATTCTACTGTATTTCCCTGCACCTTGGCGGGTTCCCTTAGCTATTTAGTTTTCCTCGGGAATCTTATGGTCGCATACTTTGTTTCATGACGTTCTTTTTCAACCATTTCACTAGGTATATTTTCGTATTTACTATTCCATGTGATAGTTACCATACCATGAACAGCAACCATGGTATTATTTTAGTGTTGCGGTACATAGACACCCCTTGAGGTTACCTCTCCACAGACTATGCTTCTGCGGCACCCCTATTATTGTATACAGCTCTTTAAAGAAATCTATTTAGGCGGCATCCTGTTCACGATCAGGCCGGATATACCATATCGCACGCCTTTGTTATGCCTAAAAAAAAAGATGAGTTTGTTTTTCATTCTGCCTATCGAACCCAATTTACGGTTTCCTTAAATACGAATAAATTCTATTTTGCAAGGGCTTTATCACTGAGCGAACCCAGCCAATACGTTCAGGTTCACTCAGTGATAAAGCCTTTTTTCCAGAAGTTAATTACCATGTTATAGCTAATAGTAAAATTCTACGGTGATCCGTTCCTTTCATCATTTTTGCAATGGAACTATGCCTGCCTATAATTTCTGTCTATTGAAATGGTGAGCTTTATACCACAATATTATTATTCAAAACCTTTATATTATTTCCTGTATACGTACAGTATGATCTTTGCGGTTTAGTTTTGGTGTGGATCAGTCGAATTCATATTCGATCAGACTGTAAGATAGGAACTATGAATAAGCAGTCCAGCAAAAGTCAAATTGATAGGATCCTACGACTGCAAGAGCTGTGGACTATGACCTCGGCACAGCTGGATAACGTCTTTTATTTAAAATGGCCTTATTATATTCTTTGTGCTACCGAATAATCGTAACACGTAACGCATCTTCGCTAGTAGAAAAATAAGCTTGTATAATAGGAAAAAAAACCTGCTGCTTATGGTGGTTATTAAGGTAGTTGGCGGCAACGAATAGAGGACCCTATAATTTGTATAATCTCTATTTTAGCGATGATCTATTTTAATAGTCCGCCAACGTAAGTGCCTCGTAAAAGATAACCAGGCTCCCCTATTGGTGAGCCGAATCAGTGAGTTATTTCATAAACAGAATTTTCACTCCATTTGCGATCGAAAACTCTAATACGGATGAACGAAGGTACAGTAAGTGACTCACGCAGGGACCGGCTGGAGATTGAAGACCCTTTTCAAAGTGACGAAGTTCTGTTGTTTCCTTCTTCTGATTAGCAACGGTTTCGGGAAAAGGCCGACCATCGATGCTATCGCAGACGGCGATAACAAACCAGATGCGTAGCCTTATTTTGGTGCTGGGCCAGAAGAAACGTGGGCAGCTATTTTGACTGGTGCCAAAGCGTCAAGATGGCATAATAGCTTTGCCGAAGAAGAAGAAGAAGAAACAGCAACGGAATGAAAGGCTAAGCTTGCAAACATAGCCAGTGTACATTAAAACTGCGATAATTCGTCGTGAAAAAAACTTGACAGCCTTCTCGGTTCGAGGTTTGCTGAGGCGGTTTCCTGGCACAAAGCTTCAAACGCATACAGATAAAATCGTGTCGAGAACGTTGGTATTTTGATTTTTGGCGGCATCACAAGGAGACAAGGCATTAGCGTGAGAGTGAGCGGTCCTCGTGGACATAATCTGAATAGCTGAAAGCGTCGACCCGGCGCATTACACAGCTCGAAACCTATCTTTATTCAGAAATCCGATATTATTGGCCTCACGGCTCTGATTATAGCTGCGTACCCGCTTGTGCATGCAATCGAACGCGTCCGATTCGGCTTGTTAACTAATGATACTACTACTACTTGTAAAACACAATGCTCTATTCCCGATTCGTCGGGCGCTGTGACTGCAATACCATTGTCGCAATAGCGCCCTAGTTTTTAATATAGCGGTCTGAACCAATTAAAGTTGTAGTTAGTGTGGCACGTTCACCTATGGAATGGTACATTTTGACTTCGCTTAGATTTGTCGTGGTGTTTCTCGCCAGCAAACGAATAGGGCCAATCAAAGCAGCCAGAAAAGAAGAGGCTCAAATCGTATTCGCGGCTATCAGCTGATTGGAACGTAAACGATTAGAGGAGTCACTCTGTCAGGACTACGTCTCTCCATGGTAGGGTTCAGGCAGCTTAACTATCCATGCTTTTGCACAATTCAATTCAAGAGGTGAAAGTCATTCAACATTTGAAAATCTCCACACCAAATGTCGTACATGGGTGCCCCGTTTCGAAACCATATTGCCTTCTGTGAAACAGATAATGAAACTGTTTATTTTCATATTTCGTCAGCGTTCATTGATTTACTCTCAAGGTCTAAAACAGCAGTGTATGCATATGGGAAGGCTGTTTCAGAAATCCGAAGTCTTCGTCAAGCAACCCTCCGGTCAAGGTTTTGTCAATCAGCTATTCAATTCACGTCAAGTTGTATATGCTGATATATTATTACTATTGACATCAGAGCACTACGTAATCGGAATTATAACCAATTTATGAAGCTGGAGGTCGTACGAAACAATTCGACATAAAAAAAAACTGTATATATATATATTTCACGCTGACAAGGTCTGAACAAGTCGTTCGCTTAAGCTTCGGATATGCTTAACGCCTGCTAAACTTGAAGGCATTCAATAATAAAAAAAAAAAAAATCCTCCTAGGTCCTAACAAAATAAAATAGCAGCGCTACGTGCACGTCAGCGGATGCGCCACCTGGATCTACCATGTCCATGGTTGAAAGTCCACTTGGTGCGCAACCGGGTGGTCTACCTTCGCCCCATGCAAACTCTTGGTCCTGGGGACATTATTCCAGTTCGCATTAATTGAAGCAACGAGGTCTGCATAATCAGCTAGAGCCTAAAGAAAAAGTGATGACAGGAAATCATCCATAATTAGAGGTATTCGAGCAAACGCAAAGCTAGTTTTATTTTGCAGACGGCTATTCTCTTCTACCATAGTAGCTTATAGTGATACGGCTGGACAAGACGGAGGAGCGCGATATGGCCGTGACAAATACGTCAGGTGTTTTCTAAATTCAGATAAATGCTGTTGAGTTATGACGCTAAACGGAACCTAAAATTTACGAAGGGCAGGATTTTTCTTAGATGTTTTTTTTTGTCCATATATTAGTTCTTTGTTGCATATTTTCGGTAGAACTAAGGACATGATTGTACAATAAGTCTTTTAATAAACACCAGTACACAGTGTGTAAACAAAAAGTCATCACAAAGTTGAGTAGTTTATCTATGAGAGCCTACGCATAGAAAGGGGTTTACAGATGGACACAGTGAAGCTTACGCACGAGACACCTTGTAATAGCTCATGGAAACGGTATGACAGTGTTAGACAGGAGGCGAGTTGTAAACGGCCTGAAAGATGTACTTGAATTAGTAATGACTTCCTGAATGCTTTTTTTTTATCTAATTATTAACTAGCATTTAGACTGCGTGTATTGACTGTCAATTCTATCCAATCTTTATTGTGGAGAAGCAGCGCAAACCGGTTTCATTTGAGGAAGCCTGTGTCCGGAAGTATAAACACATGGACCAATAGGATAAGCTATAAGATGTGTAACAGAACCTTTTCAAGATAAGCTTGAAAAAAGCCTTAAACAGTAAAATCAACGATCACATCTTTATAAAATTATAGGTAGCTACTCCCTTAAATAGTGCTTAAAGTAACTCTTACCTCTTTAGTCTCGCACTACTTACCATAGTAAAGATGCGTGGATAGCAGTAACTTTTTGGTACCTGAATTGGTCAAATTGTATAAAAGCCGCACCACTAGCCATCTACATAAGAAGGATAGTAGAAATGTCACTTCTCCGTTCCAAATTGTTGATTAGAAATTAAGATATTTTATGGAAATGTGGGGTGAGAGAGTGAGCGGCCGAAAAATAAGCGAAAGCTACCCTAAGACTAAAATTATACTATGACTATTTTTAGAGTAAATTTTGTAAAGATATCTAACATGCCCTTACGTAATTTCCGGTTTCATAATTTTCAATTAGGTACAAATTGCTTTGCGGTAACCAACACGTTTATCTACTACAAAAAAAAATAATCACTTCCCGGAGGTGTTTTTACGTACGCAAATTTTATCATTCAAACATCATTAGCACACTAAAAAACAAGCCTTAAAATAAAAAATTCTCATTGCACTACATTGTGCAATAGAGTTGTATACAGGGGGTACGTAACGAAGCATACCAGCCTTATATCTTTGCCTTATTTCGTTAATGCAGTTAGTTACATAGTATCGCAGAGCTCAAAGTTACTTCATCTAATATGCACAGAACTGTTGTTGCTTTGGGTCCACTCAGTCAATGAGTACAACATAGGTCCTGTTTTTAATTCTTGTATAGGGCAACGGCTTTAAGTTGCGCCTTTATAGAAAAGAAAAAAAAAACTAGCTTATTTATTTTCTAGGTTGCTTTCATATAATCATTTTGTGTTACTTCCACTTTATGTATCAAAAGCTAAAAAAAACACCTTCATGATGATGCGAATTAGATAGATATAGATGTGTTTTGATTGATCGATCGTGTATTCTGCGCCTTAGCCTAAATTTCGGTTTGTACTAAAGCTACTTCGGTAGCGCTCTAGAACTCATAGGACTCTTGGTCAACATCAGAGAGCCATGAGTTACCGGTTAAAGCTCTTGACCGAAATATTGGTATATTAATAGTAAATGCAATGAATTAAGGAAGCGAAGTGATGTAAATAATGGTACTAACAATAGCAATTATTATACATTGGTGCATATGGACACTTTGTATTTTAGATGTAACGATGCGGTTAAACTGAACTTGAGATTGAAGTTCCTTGAAGTCAATATATACATTATATGACACAAGAAGAGGTGGACACAATTCCGCTAAATTAATAACTTTTTCATTAGTTTACAGACACATTAAGGGGTTTGAGCAGTGTGGCCGCACCTTAACTTACAGACAGATTCAGGTCTTCTCATATTTTTGGCTAGTTTGGCTATTTACCATTTCTCATCATACCTGCCAAACAGAAATAGAGGCACACGCGAGACCCAGGTTGTATCAGGCACAGAACTAACACCGAAATCCAAGCACGCCTGCTCGTTTCAGCCTGTGTTTTACTAACCAATATATAGAGCCAGTTCGGTGATTTTTCTTTCAACCGTGTCTCAAATACTCCAAGACAGTTACCAGATTTGACGTGTAATCTTCTCTTGCATTAACCCTATCTAGTCTAATGTAGTCAAAAACTAATGGAGACACACATTACAAGAATATTTTTTTTTTTGTTTTCTTCCTTAGATCAATTTATCTTTCGCTTCATCCGGAACATGGCAGTCTACACAGTATGTGTGCTTCTGGCTACGCACTAAATACGTGGACACATATGTAATTAAAGTACATTAATTACAAAATATTGCAGCGAAAATAGTCTGGGTTATGTGCCAGAAAAGCTCGAGTCATTGCACTTGCTATATTTGTACAAATATAAATGTATTATTACTTCGCTTGTAAACTGTAACTTCATTACTTGGCCAAGATACCTCTTTTCGATCATGAGATAACCCCGAAGCTATTGTTTACCGCCTATGCAGACTTGGACTATATTGTTTTCAAGACATAAGTTTTAATTGTTATGAGTACGACAATTCTGAACCATTAGAAGTGGAACTTTAGTCAACTGTACATGGCTGTCATAGGAGTCGTCAGGCGGTTTCGGCGAACCGTCTACCTAGATCTCTTTAATTATTCAGTGACAGATTTGCTGTCTATGATTCCGTACATTAGCGGAAAAATCTGTGTACGGTAGAGTTTCCGACGGTCAGGGTGGAGCATTGCATGTGCCCCTGATGCTGGGGCATTGCATTTTCTTGTTGCTGCAAGTTTTGTTGCTATCCGAACATGAAATTGCCCTCTGGTGCGACTGTTGAATCACGCACAGTAAGTGTTATCGGCGGGAGCTTTTGAACGCTATGAATTGAGCCTTGAATCGCATTGCTGGTCGGGCCTGATGGGAGCGGAATGACGTTGGTGACAATGGACTACAGTTATATGGCTCCTTTGCTGAGCTCTGATCAGCGGATGGATGTATTACGATATGAACTTGTTGCTTTGTGACTGGCGGAGTTTGCTAAGTATTTCGCTGTTTCTTGAGCTTGGCTCGAAGATTTTTATATTTCATTCTCGCTGTTTCCAGAGTAACGCCGGCTCGTTTCGCTATCCTCTCTAGCTCAGTACGCCTCGGATTTTGGCACTTGGAAAATTCCTCCGCGAATATGCCATTCTGTTCTTTGTTAAACAGCGTCCGCTGGCGTTTTGGTTCTGAAATCGTACTCACGAGATAGCAAAATTAAATAAGACAAATGTACTGAGCTGAAGGGACCAATGAATCTTCTTATGTTAACATTGATGATCGGGCTTATCGTCGTTAGCTTGACAGAGTAGATAAAAAAAAAAAGGGGGAATTTAGCATATTGTAATTTTAATTAGGCTTGTCGCGTTTGTAACAAGTTTCAGCATCCGTATATGTTTTAATAACGTATAAGGTTTTTATTAAACCTTGCTACATTTACAGTAATTACCAATCGTGCGAGGAAATCTAACATGAAAAAACGGAAGTTGATCGGCTGGAAGCAATTAGATAGAAGTGGGCTAGATTAGAGAGAAGATGAGTCGTGTTTCTTGTTCGGAGTGTATTCAGCTGGTCGTCGTATAGTTCATGTAACCGTATCGTTACATTTAGACGCTTCTATGTAAAGCAAGCACCATACGTTTGTTTCTACCGGTAACCAACACAAAGAACTCACTTAGAATCGAGTTGATCTTTACTGACGACGTATCTTGTTGCATGTTTTCAGCCGAAGGTTCGGGTGAGCATGAAAAAAGTAATGCGCGTCGCGGAATCGCTTCTTCCGTATTCAATCGTACCACGTTTCCCATAACTTGCTTTTTCTCTGCAAGATTCAATATATAGATAATAATAATAATAATAATAATACGTTGAAGGTCTAGCACCAGTATAACTAAATTAGAAATTTAGAGAAACGTTGGATGTTTGTTGCCTCACTAAAGATTTTACGCATAGTTATCAAAATAACTCCGTAAATAAACAATAATAAAAGAAAAAAGTAATAAAAAAGAGAAGAAGTTCTCTATATAGCTCACCTAATGGCAACATTTTAGCCTTGCACGGGCATTAGTGAAATGCTTTCAAAGCACGGTAACGAATGTTAAAAGATCAGACCGTAACAGGCCGACATCTTACATCCCTAACCGCTCTGCAGATGTTTGGCTATAATGAGTGCAGCTCGTCTGCACGCAGTGGTAACATTTAGATGACTGATGGCTACTTGAGGTAGCGAGCCTACATCTTTGCACTGTCGCTATGAGCTAACAATAAACAACGATCCCTAACTTCGGCTACCCTCAACATTCCGAATACCAATTACCGTGAAGTGATGAAGGCGATCAACCAATCAGCTGCAACAGCCCAATCAAAGGTTTCTGCAAAGCTGATCATTTTATCTACGACAAGAACTTCAGCTACTTTGATTGACTGATCATCATGCCAAGCCAGGCAGGTCGCAAGCCTGAATGAATCATAAAAGGTATGGTGGCAGTAACAACGTGGTGTGGGCACTCCACTGTTAATAAAGTACGGGAGGGACCTCGGAGTTGCACGATGTTGCTTCGGTGGCAATTGTAGAGTATGGGTACGGCAGAGCTTGGCGCTGAAGCTGCAGATAGTCTAGGTTGTGCCAAGGCCCGAGGCCTGGTAATCCGGATCAGGCATGGATTAGGAGAATGGAAGGAGAGGCCGGAGGGGTGCTGAACTGAGTAAGGACCTGGCCGAGACAAGCATCGCGCTCTGCCATTACTATTCTGAGTGCACTCACAACAGGCGCCAGTTCGTTCTCTGCCCAAATTCCTTTTTGAAAATGAGATTGGCTCAACCGCAAGAGGGCGCTGCGGTATCGGATCGTTGCAATGTCGTTGAACATCTTTGGCGATAAGTATTGCTTCTACAAGTTCTCCTAGGAGACTAAGAAATATCAATGATACGATAGGTTACAGTGTGGCAAGTATATTATTATAGCACTGGAGTACTATCTTTAATGAAAAATGAACATCGTCGAGTGCGCGAGCCTGGTGATTCACCACTGGTTCTCAAGACGTAAGTCGTCGATGGCGACTGGTTTTTATTAGCAAACGGAACAGTCTATTTTTCACGTCCTGCTCAGCTAGCAATTCCGGACGTAGGTCGCTTGCCGTGCAACAGGGATGGAAGATACCCTTTTGGTGAAGAACCTATAAAAGACTCAAAACTATCGCTCCTGAGATCATCCTGACATCCTATTGTTCCAGTCAGTACGAATCTACTGAAAAGAAAATCCATACCATCCAGCGATCACCAACTCGAGTCGATAGGCACTGAAAAACTAGATGAAAACCTAGGAATGCTGTTAAAAACCACGATCCACCCAACATCAAAAAGAGCGGCCAAAGCAGGCAGATTAAGCCTATAGAACGCTTATTGCTGGATAGGTCCATCCAGCGCGACATTGTGGAAAACAATTTCAATAAGTGCGACCACCGATCTTCTTCACATCACCCATTGATAACTGACCGAATGCTAATTTGTAAAAAGGCTAGTTTGTGTAATTGACTATTAGCACACAAAAGATAAAATGCTCGGTATAGTTGCAGCGACCTGTATACGCAGGAAAAGAAATCATGCCTTTCGTCCATTCGAAGGGCTGCCGGATAACGCTTAGCACTCCCATTTATTCTATTATTTGACTCAAGAACTAATAAACAAAATCTAGAACTACACTGGCAGCGAGGATTAGGTAGAAAATGGAATATTGTATCTACGTGTATACGTAAACTAACAGTAAATTACTAACCATGAAATGAGGAAATACAGCCATCCGGGACAGCATCAGCTGGGCCCACATCGAAATAACAGGTCGACGAGGACGATAGGCTAAAATCATCATGCGGTGTGAGCGAGCAGCCAGTGGTCTTCAAATAAAAAGGACTCGCATAGTGAGGTAGTTGCGTTGTCCCCGGTGCCATGTGATGCTTTTCGTAGACCGGCAATGTTGTTGTAGTCGCGGTTGGAGTAACAATAGGGTGATGCATCACCGGTTTCGTCATGTAAGTGGCGGCAGGGCCTTCTTGGTACTGAGGTGCACTACCTAGACCTAGAGCATCACCCTGCACTGTACCCTCTGTGGACACATCTGCAGCCTGTGAAACAAGAACGCGATCCTGTACGGATTCGGTGTTCAAGTAAAGGGAAATTGCGTCCAGCCAGTCTCGGCCCCGGCCATCCAGATCGCATAAATTATTGGACATCTTACTACTCTTTTTGGTGCTGACTTTTGTAAAGGTGTATGTAGTATTTCTGCTCCTAGACACAGCTAGGCGGGTCTCATCATAACCGGTCAATTGTACCTTCTAATTTCGTGTGAACCGACCACTGAAACGCCAAAAGCGCGGTAGCAATTACTTGTTAAATTAAATGGCAATAATTTAAATTGGCATGATATGAATGTAGAGGGTGGGTTCAATTGAATACTTTGGGAGTCCAATAATAAAATAAGAGGATCGTTTGTGCTTGATGAATAAACGTCAAAGCACACTTATCTATGTTATATTAAGCCTATAGCTTCTCTGCTCCAGTTCCTTACTGACATACGATATATTACTTATAGTAACTTTAAACCCCTGTGTGGTCCTGTGTCATAGATATATTTCTTAGAAACTGTAGGGATAAAAGTTGCATAACTGCAAATGCGCTGCCTGTGCACTACTAGGTCGAAAAAGGCATCAATACAACGCCCATTTTTCGTAGCTAAAGGCCAGCCCATATACTTGGGCTTATAGAGCCACAGCCTCTGGTCGTTTGCTATTATTTGCCACTAACTATTTTCCAGAAATCGACAACTTGTTCTGTATACTGCAGACGCTTTGAAGTAGGTGACCCCTGCCGGTGTCGGTAGCACATTTCAGAGCGTCTGGAAAGTAGAAAAAGAACATATCTTTGCTGTTTTTTTTCTTTTTTCAGTGAGAACGCGCTACCGAATAGCATAGGTTACGTATTGTGCTCAAAATGAAGTCGAATGCTTGCAGGTAATGCTAATAGCGCAGAAGACAAGACTGCATCAGTCGTATCAACAGGCCTGAGACGGACAAGGAAGCCTTGCGGACAGTCATCGTATTATTGAATTAGCGCCGTTCACAACGAGTACGGACGTCACTATTGAACAATTATATTGGAAACTGATTCAGAAAATGCTGACGTTTCACCGCAGATGACGAGACGTAGCTACACTGCATGGAAAAACTGACAGGATCAGAAAAAATCGCGTGAAATCTGGCGGCGAAGGGAACGGCTAGAATTTGGACTACCGAAGTTGTCTAAGGGAATACAGTCGAAGGTAAGATACTAAAAACTTCTTAATTTTTCATCCCATCGAGATACAACAATTACGCATGGTTGAATCCATACGTAATGCGCCAAATGAATTTAGCACTCTTCCAATATGTAGCTTATTTACTGTGCATATAATTGTTTTAGGGTCATCTCTCGCGTTCGTCATATTCCGTAGTGTCACGTCTCAGAAAAAGAAGCTAGCTATCTCAATATTAAGTTAACTATACAACTTCCACAGCGTAAAGCGTATCGAGTTTATTATTACCTAATTTGTCTTCGTTCCATCGTATCGGTACTGCGCAAATATAACACAAGCAAACCAATACATAAGTGTTGTTATCGAGAAAACAAAATGTCACTGCCCTCGTGCACCTCACCGTTTCATGGACGTACACACACATAACCCGTATCCATAGGAGACCGGGCTGATTCCTGCGCAAAACCTCATGTCAGAATCGCGCCGTCGCTAGTACCGAGCGAATTTGCATGGCCGCTAGATTAAGTGCCAGCCAAATAGGTGAGAATCGCAGGCTACATCGTAGGGGTTCCGTTATTATGGCAAGACCAACTAAATATTTAATTGTTTTGTAAGAAGATTAACAAGCCTAACGGTTTAATCCGCAATCGAATTACAGTAATAGTTGTAGTGGCAATGGTTACCTATGGTTGATGTCGACACTGGACTGAGTACGCTCGTAGGCGCTTATGCAAACAGATGTATATTTCTGTAAGAAGATGCGTCCCCGTATACGCGCGTTTCTACATATATTAACACGATTGGGACAAATAGTGTCCAGTGGTCGAATTCGGTAATCAGACAGGAGCTTAGTGGCAGAAATCGCCGTAAGCAAGAAGCAAAAGCAACAAAGAACAGGTCTATGCTAGTTGGGACCGGATAACTTTTGGATAACCGGATACAATCGAAGAGAAATAGTTTGGGTCGTAAGGGGATCTCATGAATGGGGTTCAGGCCCGAGACCAATCACTTGATAGAGAATCTATACGGTAATGTATAAGAATACCTTAGCGAAAAATTGGGTATTAACGGAAACGTTTGAGTAGGCCAATTTTTTGTGGAAGTAGCCAGTGAAAGAGGGCAACGATAGCTAGGATAGAACACATAAACACCAGGTCCGTGAGTGCGGGAGCTTGGGCTCCTGTAGTGTTTCAGTTGCACACACAACCGAACTCGCACACGCGCACAACGAATTTCTCAGAGGGGGCCCATTACTGCAAAAAAGCATTTGGACAAAGCCAAAACGGCATACAGTGACGAAGGGACACTTACAATCGGGCAGAACTGACATGTACTACGACACACACACACACACCCCCATGCGCCCAGGTAAGACCGAACAGACTCCCGAGGTACACACATTACAGAACCACACAACTGGTCAGATCGCCAACGTTACTTTCGCCAGCACCGCCGTTGCTGCAGCAGCAGCAGCAGCAGCAGCAGCGTTACTTTCGCTGGCTGAAGCGGTGGTCGGCATCAGCGAGCGTTCTCCGACCACGGGTATCGGCCCTACCAACCAGTGATGAGGGCACACTTTACTCCCCGCCCCTATGGCAAAGCTCCGCCCCTGCGGGCATGGCCCGCCATCCGTGTGCTCTATTCAGCAGGAATCAGGGAGAGGGCAAAAAATGAGCAGCCATGACGAGTGTTTGGGTTTTGCGTGAGAGAGAGAACACCCGCCATTAGATCAACCGAAAACCTACCGATCCCAATGATTAGGGGCGTGACGGGGCAGTACGAAATGGGCGCGATGCTGCCAGTGGATAAAATTTGGATAAAAACGTTTAAAAGAGCTGGAAACGAAAACGTACCGAGTAACGACAACGTTGCACATAAAAGCGAAGCTTCTTACAGGAGACACTGATGGTTATCTAGATTGTTCTAGGTCTCTGCGACGACTTGCACTCAGCGGATACATTGATTATTACATTTGTACTTAATTGTTGATCAACAGAGATAACACAAAAAATGCAAACGTCGTTTCTGGGTGAATCAGGAAAATTGCGAAGTATAATTTTTCAGATCTTGTACATATCTATTAAGGAGTCACCTTGTTTTGATCCGTATAAGGCAAAATACGCGGTTGTTCCTGTGGTCCGCCATGTGATAACATTAAACATACTGACACTGCTTGTATACTGGCCCCAGTCGTGCCCGGTGAAGGTATCCAATCGTAAAAAAGCTTTAATGTTCTTATAAGTAAACACAGACTTTCTGTGCGTGAAGCTTGCTGACGATGTGATGAAGTCGAAACATATATGGACCTCTTACAAAATTTGCAGGCAGTTAAATTGGCCGCTAGTAACGTTTCGGTGTTAATATATATGAACAGAATCATGGATCACGAATCTTACACATTGATTTAACTGGCCTTGCATACACTATAATTTTGAATATTAGTTCTTCAATAATGAGTTTCAACTGCGCGATGCTGGTTCGATTGCTAGAGTGCCGGCAAAGATGACTGCTCTTACAGCTGGTGGAACATCCTAATAAGCAAAATATTTGAATATATTAGAATATCTCTACATATATACCGATATTGATAACACTATGTCGTATATACTGTTTTGTCGCGCAATCAAATATCAAGCTTGAACTAATTTTAAATATAGAGATGAAGCGTTTCCTGTTTGAAACGATCGTCTTGAGCAAACATTTGGCATACAAATTGAGCATGCCTATCGGAGATTCGTTCAGCAGACGAACTACCGGGCATAGAGGAGGTTCGGCTTGTTTGTAAACAAACAATTTCGAAAAAATTATTTGTAAACACGCAATAAAAAGCGAAGTCGAGAAATGCACCTCGATGGGCTGTAACTCGTTCTGGTTGAGCAGGCTATGCACAGCAACGTACACGAGTCAGACTTCACCAAAGGCCCAGTCACCACGGTTATTCGCTCGGTCAAAGGTTTTCGAGTGCGCAATAGGAGCGTTCGTACTCGAAATCCCGCTGTTCGTCGAGGGTCTGCCAGTCCGCTGCGAAGCACTTTCTAGCTGAGCAGCCTTTTTATATCTGGGCGTAGCGGCGGGGGGCGGGGCGGGGTGGGGTACTGACGCAGTAATGTTTCCCAACGGGATTCTGTAATTTGAGTAGTTTGCCTCCCAATGACATCCCATGCCCAGCTTGAAACTGTTGCTTTATCCGGCAGTGTCTAATGGTACGCCGAGCTCCGACCATGGAGCTCTCAGCCGGAGTTGGGGAGTAGTACCGCTCACCCATCGAGCTGCATTCACTGTTACGCACACCTTTGTTACAGAGCGCTGTTTTTCCGCACGAGAAGCGTATGTGGAAATTGGTACGGGTACTGACGCCAATCAGAAAGTAGCAAACTTTTGATTTAAATGCGGCAAACTTTAAAAATCAATGAACAATTTACTCAGTGGAAAAAGGCTTGAAAGATGTGGCTGCCCGTTTCCACGTCGTGTTTGAGAGAAGCTATACTTGTATACCGTATTAATAACGTACGCCGTTTGCCATTCTATCGAAATAATAAGTATTTCTTATTTCATTGTACTCCGTAATTGAAGTCTATTAAAGTATTCTACTTAGATTGGTGTTTAATATATTTACTTTAACTATAGAGGGTCGGCCAAAGTGGGTCGAAGCCTCTAGATTCGTTGTGTTGACTGCCGTCTTATTGAAACGGCCAGAGATGTCGTCCCAGATAGAATCATGCCTCTCGTCCTGATGCATCTACATACATTTCGGCGACGTTCGCGCAAATTGTAGCGTACAGTTAGCTGTGGCCATTATATGAGAGAGCTTAGTCCTTCGGCATCCTTTCTAAGACCCTTCGGTTCGATTCCATTGTATGCCTAAGCGTAGGGGGGCTACCGAAGACGTTTATGGGTTCGCCGAGGTGTTCATTATAAGCATCAGTAACAGCAAAAGGTGGTACGCTTCTCTAAGCGTCACAGGAATCTCCGCTTGGCTCAAAGCTGCAGTTGAAAGAGGGTTACCAGCGGGCGAATCGTGGCGGTCCTATGCTGATCGGCAAACGACGGAGTATATATAGGTCGC